AGAAGGGGGTCTATGTGGTCAGTGTGCCATGTGAGTGTGCAAGAATAGAATGTTTATCTTGTTGTTAGATGAAATAGCCTATAGAGGGCAATTTTGTGAGGTTGATTGATAGTTCAGCTCAGGCCAACTCTATCCTTATTGATTTTCTGCCTGTTTCGTATATCAGTTGTTGAGAGAAGACTGTTTAGTTCTTCAATTATAATCATGAATTTCTCCTCACAGTTTTAGCTGGACATATTTAGAAGCTCTAGTGGCACAAACATATTTAGGATTCTTTTTCAACCTTAGAGACCTAGCCCCTTATTTCAATATTATGTCCCTCTTTACCCCTGATGGCTTTCTTGAATCCTAAATTCATATTTTTGGAGATTTTAACACAGCATCTCTGGCTTTTTTTTAGACTCACATTACCATGATATACTGGATATATTTTCTCTTTACTTTTAGCCTAACATCAGTGGTCTGTATTCACCACTATGGTGGCTTTCCTGTAGATAATATATAGCTGAATTTTGCTCTTTAATTCACTATAAAAATCTGTCTAATAAATATATTTGATAATTCACTTTTGATCTCTGTGTGTGTGTATGTGGGGAGGGTCAAAGGACAGTCTCAAATATTGGTCCATGTCTTTCACTTTGTTTGAGACAGGGTCTTTTGTTCACTAACATATATATGCATATTCCAGGCTAGTAATTAGCTGACAAATTTGTGAGGCTATTCCTATTTCCCCCTCAACCTCACATGTCACCATAGAAGCACCTGGACTATAGACCTGCCCTACATCATAGCTCTACATGGGTTCTGGGAATCTGAACTTAGGTCCTCAAGCTTGTATAAGCTTTTAATATCTCCAGTCCCACTAGCTTTTAAAATAATCATTGATATACTTTAAATAATATCTCCCATGTAACTTTATATTAACTGCATTCATTTGTTAATCTTTTTTAGTTTCCTACTTTCTTTGATTTTACTTGAGATTTTATGATTTTACTTTTACTCTTCTGTTACAACAGCAATTGCACATTTGAAAATTAGTGATATCCCAGAACTTCTAATATACATTTTATGTTAATAAAATGCTACCTTTTAATAACACTATTTTACTTTCCTTGTAATATGTTTTTTAATTACAATGAATTCTCAGTTCTTCCCTATCATCCCCTGTAACATCTCTAACATTGTTATGATTAAATGCACATTTAAGAATAATTATCAAATACATACTTATTATCACCTCACACCATTAACTTTTACATCATTTAAGAGTAAGAAAATTCCCAAAGTGTGCTGGCCTAAGAATTGTTTTTATGTTCTGCCTCTGAACTATAGTTGTTGTTTCACATTGAATCTGTTAACCACAATATTTAAGGCAATTGAACTCACTGCCTGACTCTACATCTCAATATGCTTGTCCTTCTTCTTTTGTAATCCTAGTTCTCTCCATCACAGAACATAATCCCTGTGATCTAAACAAGCCCAAAGTACTTTCAAAGGGATCAAATTGTTCAATCCAGGATTGAAAATCCCAAACAAACAGCTATCCAATAAATTGCCTCTGATGAATACTACCATGACATGTAAGATATAATTTAAAAATATTTAGATAATGAAGTCTCACCAACATGGCTGCCTAAATATGACCTGAGCAAGGATGACACAAATAAAGCCACTAATATGGAAGAGAGAAAGCCTAGGAAGCCTCAATCACAGACAAGGAACCACAGGCAACTAAGGAATTCTATTTCTAATCTTTCTGGAGTCTATTTTTAATTAATTTTTAAAATATTATTTTTCATTTTACATACCAATCCCGACTTCTCCTCCCTTTCCTCCTCTCTCCCCTGCTTCCCCCCTCTGCACCGCATCCATTCCTTAGTGGGGGCTATGTTCTTCCTTGGCGAGTCCAAAATCTGACATACCAAGTTGAGGTATGACCAAGTCTCTCCCCTCTGTATCAAGGCTGAGTATGATATCCTAGCATAGGGAATGGGCTCCAAAAAAACAGCTAATGAATTCTAAGAACAGCAGAAATAATCTCATGGAAAAACATACCAATTAGTTATCATATACGTATCGAATGATCAGGCTTGAAAACAAAGACATACAAGTAACATTGCATGAACTGAGAACATTGTATTTGTATATTTAGGAGTGTGTGTGTATGTGTCTGTGGTGTGTGTGTATGTGTGTTTGTGGTGCGATATGTGTGTGGTGTGGTGTGTGAGGTGTGATCTGTGTGTGTGTGTGTGTGTGTGTGTGTGTGTGTGTGTGTGTGTGTGTGTTAGCATTAAAGAAAAGGGCCATGAATCTGAAAGAGTTGGGAGCAGGGACAATACATGGAAGGGTTTGGAAGGAGTAAAGGGAAAGGGGATACAATTATAATCTCAATAGTATATTTTAAAATATTTGGATGAGCATGATCATTGAACAGACGGAAGGGTTTTTTTTTTTTGGTTTTTTGTTTTTTTGTTTTTTTGGTTTTTTGAGACAGGCTTTCTCTGTGGCTTTGGAGGCTGTCCTGAAACTCGCTTGGTAGTCCAGGCTGGTCTCGAACTCACAGAGATCCGCCTGCCTCTGCCTCCCGAGTGCTGGGATTAAAAGCGTGCGCCACCAACGCCCGGCCAGACGGAAATTTTAAACTGCCTGGAGTCAAAGTAGAACAACAAAAATGTCCTGAAAGTCACCGCCATTTTGAGTGTAAGCCCTGTGATCGGCACAGTTCAACTTCCTGAAGGACTGAACATGAGACCCACAGTCAGTGAAACATCATAGCATGAAATGCCTTAGAGCTAGTACCTGGTCAGTAAAATCCAGGGTTTGAAACCATTTTCATACTGAATGGCAAAAGGGAAAATTAAGTTTCTCCAGTGCAGTCCCACTTCAGGGCAACTACTTCAGAGCAGACCCCATGCCTAGGATAAGTCGGCCAGCACAAAACAAATATTTTGTAGACTTCTTGTTATGCTTTGCTTTCTTTGAGCATTTCTGTCTTATGGGTCTCTTGTTTATTTGCTTTGAGTTTTGTTTCTGTTTGGGGAATTTTTTATGTTTCTTGTTTTTTTTCTTGTTTGTATTTTGAAAAGAGATAAAGAACATAAAGTTGGGTGGGTAGCTAGATGTGGATAATCTGGGTGGAACTGGGGGAAGAGAAAAAAAGAAAGATCAAATATATTACATGAAAAAATTTTCAGTATAAAGAAAAAAACTTGGTAAATGACAAAAACTGCTAAATTAGACTTCATCATCATTTTAAAATTCTGATCTTTGAAGACACCATCAAGAAAATGAAGACAGATGAGCCTGGTGCCTGTAACTACAGTCTCAGCATTCAGGAAGAAAGAGAAGAATATGGCAAGTGTGAGGCTATTGTGGAGCTATATGGTGAGTTTGAGGCCACACCCTGAGACGTCATTCCCCAGCCCTGCTCTAGAAGGAAAAAAGGAAAATAGAGAAAAGAAAACCCAATACTATAACACAGCAATAAAAAAGAACAAACCACTGTTACACACAACGTGGTTGAATCTTAACATGTTACTGCATCTAAAAGAAAATGGACACAAAAGTCTGTATTCAGTATAATTCTATAATGACCTTCTACAGGAGGCGAACTATAAAGATGGTGGTTTGATACTTTAAAGGGATAGGCGTATTCAATGCTTGGAGTGTAGTTATAGGGAGGTGACTGTATATATGTATATTTCAAAACTCACTGAACTGTAATAAAAGGGTAGATTTTACTGAATGTAAACCATGATTAAAAAACTCTGAACCCTCAGTTTGACCCCTCAGAAAAAAGTCTCATAGGTAAGTAGAATACAATGAACGCAAAATATATTTCAGATTTACTCTGATTTTTCCTGCTTTGTTACTGTTTGGTGGGATTTAACCATCCACCCCACTCATTATCCATTCATCTAAGTAACGGAAACCAAATATACTCTACATGCTAGCAATAGTTAATGAGATGAGAGGACAGAGGAATTAAGTGTATTGGAACCAAGGCCTGAATACAGGAGGTAAGACTGGAGGTTGCTATGGACTGGATGATTATCCCCCAGCCCCAATTCATATGTTAAACACGTTGTGTGGTACTTAGAGGAGGTAATGGAACCTCTCACAAGGTAAGCAGGTCTGCAGGTTATCGACAGTATACTGTTCAGGATTGTGGTGCCCCAGAATCTTTTTCTTTCCTCTTTTTGCTTTCTGTAAAGGAAGTAAGCAGCTTTAATTTACAATGTGTTCCCACCATGAGATACAGTCATCACAAACACCAAATCAGGGAGCTATTTGATCATGTATTAAAACCTCCAAAACTGTGAGCTAAAATGAACCTTTTTCATTTTAAGAGCTAGTTGTCTCAGATGTTTTCTCATAGCAATGGAAAGCTAACTAATATGGTAGATCATGGAGAAGGAGATGATCCTTTCTCTTTTCTCTAAGGTAGAACCAATAATACACATTTCACAGCTCTGTCGAGATTAGTTGTAATAAGAGTAGTGATGCAAAGTCTGACCCCAATAAAGAACTTAGAAATTATTTGCTGATTCTCCCTTCACCAACATTTTACTGATAAGAATATGGGGGGTACCCCTCTGTACCCCAGAAAGCAATAGCTCCCCCTCTCCCCCACTGTTTTCATCACTGTCAGGGTCCAGCATCTCTTTCCCTGTTGTTCATAGGACTTTACATCATCTTATTTGGAAACTAGCAAGTAAAAACCGACTGGAGCATAGAGACTGACCCTAAGTAGGGCTTCAGGAGTGAAATGTCACAAATTTGGATTCAGAGATGGGAGTATAGCTTCAAGAAGAGTTAACTCATGCACCCCACTTTCCACATGGGGCATATTAAACTGGAAGGTTAGCTCTAGTATCTAAATATTGCACAAAGTGGCAAATTAAATTTGATATGTGGCAAAAATTAGTAACTAAATATCATCAATGTATTACAAGACAAATTTTCCCCAGGAAAATACTCCAGTTTCAAAGAATACTTACACTTTCTTTTCAAAACAAAATTTCATTCCATAGAACCTTAATCAAGCTCGGATAATTTTATTTTCTGTGTAATAGCCTCATATTGATGATGGAGGGCTTCCCAATTTCGTTCCGACATGCTTGATTTACTTCCTAAATTCTCTGAAGCAACAGATGTCTTCAGTAATTTTCTCCACATTTATTCACTCGTTGCTGTAATCCTGCTTCTCCTTACAGGTTATTTCTGAGGGTCAGAAAAATGATACATAGGATGTTGGGATCAGTAAGTCCTGGGGTGGCAAATGGATAGAATACATGCTGTACTGTATGAGTTGACTAGGTAAAAAATACATTGATTTAAAAATACATATTTAATATATATTCAAAGAGATCATGCCATATTAAAAGTAGTAAAAAAATTAAACAATAGAGATTTTTTAAAATGTGGGATAAGGTGAGGCATACCATTGTGTCTGTAAAGGGAATTACAGAGAAGAAAATTATATTGGAAGAAATCACAGCCAAAACTTTCCAAATCTAAAGAAATATATCCACCCACACATCTAAAATGCTTAAGAAACTCCAAGTAAGATAAATACAAAGAGTAAGACAAATAAACCATGGAGCAATAAAGTGTTAAAGTCAAAGGCAAAGACAAAGCCTTGGAAACCAGAGAAAAATACATCACACAAAAAGGAATTCCAGCAAAATTAATGCCTGACTTTCATTGAAAAGCACAGAAATAAGAAAGCAGAGGGATTGCAAAGACCTAAGGGAGACAGAGTTCCTCACCAATATAATTTCCAGGAAAATAATACTATTAAAATTTAAATAAAGATAGTATATAAAAAGTTAAAATCTTAGAAAAGCCCCCCATAACACACCTATCCTACATGAGATGCTAAGAGAAAATATTCTGGTGCAGATATACTTCTGATCTGAGAAGCCTACACCAAGAAAATTTAACTTACATGAAGAAAAAAAATAGTACATCAGCTAAGCTATCTACTTGGCAATTGTAAAATACATCATAATAGCATACACATTTTCTTTTTCCTTATCTAATTTAATAAATAATTACCTGGGACAATATACATAATTGTACTTTTGACCTGCTCACATATGTAATTAATTTATTAGCAGAACTATGAAGGATGCAGCTGAGAACAAATTCGTTTGGAGTTCTATATGCATGTGAACACCTCTGTGGAGCCTAGAGAACAGCCTATTGACACTAGGCCTCTATGTTGTTTTGCTCCCTCACAGACAGCTTAGCTGGTCCATGAGCTTCATGGCCAGCCTCCTGGTTCTCCAAAGGCTCCCCAGATCGCAGGCTCACTATGGCACGAGATTTTTATGGGTTCCGGGAACCCGAATTCCTTGCAGGCCAAACCGTTATGGATCGAATCATTTCCTCGATAAAAGGTTGGGAGGCGAAATGGATTTTGAAAAGTTAGAAAACACATTTCCAAAGTAGCTCAAATAATAAGTCACGAAGGGAATTAGAAGGACGAAGAATGGCTGCCTTAGTCAGACAACTAACAACACAGTGTGACTCGCCTGCAAGTGATGGACCACATGGGCGATGTCCAGACTCAGGTCTAAATCCCATGGGTGTGTCCAAGGAAAAGCGGGTGCTTCCCAGAGGGAACCTGGAAGAGTCACAACAGGACTGCAGAAGTTGTTTCCCTGTTCCCAGAATCAAGATGGAAAGAGCCAGGGCTTGGCCCTGGCATCTACCCTTCCTGACTGCTCAAAGTAGCCTTATTATAGTGGGGGCAGGACAGAGGAGCCTGCGTCCCGACCCGCTCTTGTTTCCGTGACTTTTTCCAGATGTGTGTGTTTCCTGCAGCCTGATGTATATGTTGTTTGACCAATAATTACATGACAAATATGCATTTAAAGTCTGTGGGATAAGAGTGAATTCAATAGTTAAAGGAAAATCAATCACTTGAGTAGGCTGTATTAAAAGAAAGCTAAATAAATGATTTAGACAAAGAGATAAAAAATTAGAAGAAAAGGAAACAAACAGAAAAAGAATGGAAAAGAAAATAAGATGAGAGAAAAAATGTAAAGAAATACAATATATAGGTCTGCCAATGACAAATTTCCTTCTTTGTGGAGAAAAAATATAAATAAAATGATAAGATAATACTAAGTTAAAGCACCCTGTGTAAAACTGACAAAACAGGAGGACTTTGGTCTGGGGCAAAATTCAGTGCTAGAAAGTATACATACATGTGAGGGGAACTTGTTCAATTCGCACCATGAAAAAGAAAAAATAGAAATAAAAATAAAATAGAAAAAAATAGTATTCACAGGAGTATTAGAAATTATTTACAGGAGAGCATTTTTAAAACTCCACAGCAACAAAATTGGCACTGGTATAAATAGAAAGTACCCTTGGCGCTATACTTTTATAAAAATCAATGCATTAGTTACTCTTCTACTGTTGTGCTAAAACACCATAACCAAGGCAGTTTACAGAAGCCTGGGAGACCAGCTGCCAGGACTGCACCCAGGGCAGCAACAAGAATGCCTTAAGAGCAGTGAAGACTTGAGAAAATTTCTTCTCTGTCTGAGGCCTAGACTTTTTCTATCTGAGGGTAAATATAGACACACACACTTTCTGATGGTATCTTGAGAACAAATGAATAAGGACATGCTTTCCTGATGGTAACCTTTTATTTTACTTCATCTTGTATAATCTCTCTTTCTGGACAACCTCTCTACACAGCCATACATCTCTATACATAGTTACATCTATTTTCACACAGTTACATTCTCCACACATCCATATACTTCTTCCTTCTCTTACGTCTCTCCTGCATACACATCTCTCGTCTATACAGCTACATCTTCTATATCTCTTTACCCACTCAGCTACATCTCTTCAGACTTCTCTCATACTTGTTACATCTCTCACACTTCTCTATGAACACACACACACACACACACATACACACCCCTCACATTTCTCTACTACTTCTACTGCAAAATCTCTGGAAAAATATGAATCATAGATTCAGGGTCACACAGCACTTCTTGAGTAAACAATAAGAAACAGAACCAAACTAATCACACGGTATTTCTCAGTCTAGGGAGGTCATGTTGACTGGGCATGGTGAGTAAAGTAAGGATGTAGCTCTGAGTGTAAGTAGAAGCCATCTCCCTGACCATCTGCAGCTATATATGTGTCCAGTAGATGTGTCCAGTTTATTTTCAAGAAATAAACACACATGCAGTGGGAAAAATACCCATAGTGGCACATGAGAACAACTACAGGCATAAAAAACAAGTCATCTACATCCAGTGACTCCCAGGGTCCTTGCCAAGCACAGCTCCCCATCAGAGAGTTATTTGTCTGGTGGGTCGGCCTGTTGAATACTAATTGTCACCTGCTCTATATTCTCAGTGGCCTCTTTTAAAGCATTGCTTCCAGGAGCTCTCAGCAGCAGTTGATAAATGGACATGTATATTTGGGGCTCATGGTTCCAGAGGATTAGAACCCATGTTGGTGGAGCAGAGGCAACAGGCAGCAGAAAGGATAGCCAGAGATGAAAACTCAGAGCTGAGGGCTGCACATCTCCAGCCACAAGAGAGAAAACTGGGAATGAAGAGTAACATTTGAAATCTCAAAGCCCACCTCCAGCAAGGCCACACATCCTGAGCCTCCCAACCAGGGACCAAGTATTCATATTCAGGAGACCATAATGTGTGTGTGTGTTGGGGGGGAGTTCATTTCAATCAAACCAGCACACTCATTTAAGAAAAATATTTAAAAGTTGAGTGGCATCAGAGACATCTAATAATGTGTTTACTCATCATAGATTTTATGTAATAGACCAAGAGCGGGACATTTGAGAATTCGTTTTTTAAAAAATGAATATTCAGAGAATTCTGACGAATACCTTAGGTAAATTGTATAAATATTGTATGAAATCCTTCAGGAAAACTTAAAACAGAAAAGATGACTCAACCTCAGGTATAAAAACAGCATTTGTTCACATCCAATAACCACTGAAGACAACACTCTGAACCAACAGGAACAGAAGGGACTGTGTGACAATTGCACAGCAAATGAAACTAAGACAAGAATGAAACACTTTCCATTCATACAAAACCAGTGGCTGGGAGCACTCCCTGCATTCCAAAAAAACCTCTGGAAACTCTAGATGACACAATAAGACAAGAAACAGCAAAGCATCCAAGATGGAAACACAGAAAGTGCAGGTGTGGTCATGGGAACAGGTGTGATCACGTAGGTAGGAAACCCTGCTTTAAAAAGGTGGAAGTACAAATTATGAAAATTCTTAAGACTCTGGGAAGGTTGCCTGGTATGAAGTCAGAGGCATTTGAACAGCAAATATAATCATCAAATTCAATTTAAATAAGGCAGTGAGTGTCAGAATGACACAGGACAAGTAAGTGAAGCATCAATCCAACGTAAGATATGCAAGGTCTTCTGAAGGAAATTGCAAATGTATTTAAATGACAGCTGTGGTACATAGAAATAGGTAGAGATGCTTGGCTTATAGCAGAAAGCCATAATGCCGTAGAAATGTCAGTCCTCTTCTATTGAATTTAATGCAATTCCAACTTATAAGCTGATTTTCTTCATGAGCCTTGACAAATTTCAAACGTTTATCAAGGAGTACAGAGATAGGATTAGCATGATATATGCATGCATGCATGTATGCATATATATACACACATGCAAAAGAAGGTTGAGAAACTTCATTATAGCAATCAAGACTCATCAAAGAAAGAATATAAGAAATGCATTCTCTATGCAGAAATACAGAAACCAGATCATGCAAAACAACAGCTACAAACACACCCATGTGCAGAAACTGATTTATGGTACAAAGAACTAACTGTAATCAATAAAAATGGATTTCTTAATGAAAATGCTGAGATGATTGAATCGTTCATATGAAGAAATAAAATTGAGTTCCTACTTTACACCATATAAAATTATGGATTTCTGTCTGAATTGTAGTACTTAATATATATTAGCTTATTTTATACTCGAGTATACAATTATAGAGTTGCATTTAAAGTGAACTTAGTTTACAGACAATGAAGGCCAAATGTAAAGATAAGTGGCTTATTCAGGCTGTAATTTATCCAGGGAAAGATTCAACAACAACAAAAAATAAAAAAATAAAAACAGTAAGGTTTGAAATTTAAAGTTCAGATCTTGCCTTTAAAATCCTTACTCTTAAATACTGCCTAGACTGGTTTTTATTAAATTCTAGATAGATTAAAGAGTTAAGTGAAAAATA